GGATAGATGTGTATAAGAGACAGGGTTTGGTGTGTTGTTGATATAATGGGTGGGTGTGGAGTGGTCCGGCAGACGGTTTGAATTTGGATTCCCCCCCCCCCCCTACGAATGAAGAATTTGTAAAAGGCAGGTATGCTTGGTTTCCGTGCCCCCGCAGCAGTNCCCGGCGTGCTCCGTCCCGGCTTTGTAGGGATGCGAGGTCAATGGTCTAACGACTACGGCATGCACGACTGTGCGTACACCCCCCCCCTACGAATGAAGAATATGTAAAAGGCAGGTATGCTTGGTTTCCGTGCCCCCGCAGCAGTTTGATTCCTGCGTGTCGAGAGCGACAGCATGATGACACAGCATGATGACACGAATTCGAGGAGAAAGAGAGACACAGAAAGAGAGAGAGAGAGAGCTATACACATACACACAGAGCGAAACGCACGTGCAGCAACTGCACTTGCCGTAGGTTATATGTGCGCCTATCTATGACGCTTGGAGGAGAGGGTTGACATTTGGACAGGTAGTAGTAGTCCTGTGCTGCCGCTGCTGCTGTACNGCATGATGACACAGCATGATGACACGAATTCGAGGAGAAAGAGAGACACAGAAAGAGAGAGAGAGAGAGCTATACACATACACACAGAGCGAAACGCACGTGCAGCAACTGCACTTGCCGTAGGTTATATGTGCGCCTATCTATGACGCTTGGAGGAGAGGGTTGACATTTGGACAGGTAGTAGTAGTCCTGTGCTGCCGCTGCTGCTGTACTACAAATATATGTAGCTGCTACGCTATTATACCATGTTGGCTGCTGGCAGTGCGTGGGTCCTTCAAGTTCCATGCTAGAGGTGACGTAGGAAGCGTCTGTGGTGGATGACACCAAGTAGTAATAGCCATGCAGGTGAGCAGGCTGGTGCCTATTGGCTGTTTGTGTGTTCGTGCTGCTGCTGTATTGCTTGCTGCTGCTGCTTGCTGCTTGCTGCTGTTGAAGTGTTGTAAAGGCGTTATGGTTCCCGGGGACGCACCTCCCGCAGCCCAGGTCACAAAGAAGCGACATATATGTCCGTAGGTGTTGCCCCCACCCCCCGCCCCCCCTGTTTGAAGTTTTTCATACGTCCGGGGAATGCAGTTGTGCCGTGCCCCAGCAGCAGCAGCAGTTTGAATCTCGAGCAAGTCCGAGTGGAGTGGAGAGACACAGCGTGAATTCGAGCAGAAATAGAGATAGAGACAGAGAGAGGGAGATACGTGCAGGAAGTGCTGTGATGACAACACCGTATGCTGTGTGTGCGTCTGTGATGGGTGGTTGTACCTGTCCATGTACACGCAACGAGGAGAGGGTACATCCACGCTGCTCTGTGGTTCCTAAACCGAGGCACAGAGCTAACATCACACAGAGAGAGGTGCTGCTACAAACCTACACTGCTTGGTGTCTGACAATCCGTTCCGT